AGCCCAGGGTGCCGCGGCCCCGGCCAGCCATGGGGCAGGCACGCTGGGGCTGGGGCACAGACAGCTCGGGAACCCCAGAACCCCTAACAACATCAAATCTAGTCTTTCACAGGCTGTCAGAAATTACCTGAAGATACTATATTAAAAATACAGCCTGTTTTGGGCCTGAACAAAACAGGTTATAGCAGCCACAATTTCTTCTTTCAGTCTCATGATGTTCATGCATGAAATGGATTTGGACAGACCATGAACGTGTGTTTGTTCATACTGGGAGGTGACTTCTCTACTTCACATGAATTTTTCCTGGTAAAAGCGCATCCTCAAGCTCCAAGGAAACCTTTTGCTGGCCCAAACCACACCTTCCCTTCTCAGGTTTAAGCAAACAGCATGGAAGGTGCCCTAGAAGTGACAGCTATCTCTACGTAAGCCCAGCAGCTGGTCCCGCAGTTCATCTTAAAGGAAATGCAGGCTCTCTTACAGACTCTTCCATGTGACACTGTGCATACTACTACTAATGTATTAAACTAAAATACTTACAGGCTTTAAAATTAACATTGCAGATTACTTTCTGTAGGCAGACTCTGCCCATCCATTCACTTCATCGGGTGAATAATTCTGCCCCACTGAGGGTGTTGAGGATTTTGCCACCAGCTCTAATGAGAGCTGGACTTTTGCTGTATACAAAGTCCCTGAGAATGAAGACTTTTAGTACACATTCTGCAAATGTGCTTCCACATTTCCGTGAAACGTTTTTTTTCCAGTTAACAGTATGTGTATTTGATTTGCCCTTAGAAATCAACTGTTCCATTAAATAAATCACTTGCTGGTCAATCTCTGTAACATATACAGTAACCTAATGCTGTGTAAAGCGGATCCCTCTGCAAGAGAACTTGAGCTGAGGAAGTCGTGGAGGAATCTCTACAAAAAGGCTGCCCTGCGAGTTAAATGCAATTACTTTGAAATAAATACCTCACCAAGAAGAAAGCTGTGAAAAATAAAATTCACACTCCTAAAGGGCAAAATTATCACTCGGACTTGTTAAAAGAGTAAACTTGCTCTTCAATCGTTTATACCAGTGTTACATGTAAGGTGAAACCCTCTTATGAGAATACTTGTTAAAGTGCATTTACTATATACTGTAGCTGTCTATTTCAGAGTTTTGTTTCCTTTTAAAGTGTTCATTTCTTTATACCTTATAACCTGAAGGATGCAAAAAGAGTTGTGGTTTACTTTTGACAAGCTGTAGCCTCCTGCCTTTATGTTTATTTCACGAAACACTGGGCATAAATCCTAAAAGAAAATATTGGTTAAAATTGTTCTTAACAAATCAACACCTAACATGTTATGAAAGCACAAACACCATTTCTTTTCTTCTGTGTTTTACTGCATCTGAAGAAAAGAAGACCCTCTTTCAAAACTCTACAAAAAAAAAATTAACGTTTTGGAAACAAAAACCACTCACAATTAAAGTTCCTACAAACCTGACACAAACGGTATGTTTAACTACAGCGTATAATCTAGTTTGATGGGAAGGAGAACACGAGAGATTTCTCTGACTAACTAATCCTTGCTTCCTGCCGTAAACTGTCCCGCAGTGTGGCCGCTCGCCATGCACAATGCGGCGCTTCACCCCCAAGGAAGGTCCATGTCAGAAGCGGCCAGGGTTCCTGCTGCCTAGTTTGGGTATCAGCTTGTCAAGCGCTTGGGGGCCTTTCAGATTGAAAGACACTATATTCCTGCCGTATATGATTTCCACCTCACATTAGAAGAAAAACATTTCCATCGCTCTTATCAAAACCAAATCTTTCCCAGAGGTGAGCTGAGCAAACAGCGGGGCATGCCAGAGATGATGTTTTGGTACAGAGCTATTCTGTAAGTAAATAGGAAGGTCTCCACAGACTAAACTGCAGAAAATTAACCGCAAGAACCTCCAAAGTGGACGTTTTTATCTCCATTCCAAGGGAAGAGAAAGACAAAACACTTTTGGAACAATCAAAGAGGAGTAGTGGCAGTGCAGCAATGATAATAAGTGACATGAAGTTTAGGAAACTATTCCACCTCCTTCCCTCTGGACTTTTTTCAGGTTGCATTTTGCAAACCTAGCCCGTACTTCTCGAACAGCACAAGACTGTCTTTTAATTTAGGCACTTGCAGAAATGTTTTACTGCATATCAGACAAACAATTCAATGTTTCTCCATATCACTTTCAAGTAATTGATAAGAAAAGTAGCATGTAAGTGCCAAAGCGTTGCTTCTCCTCTGAAACACGTGTTCGCCTAGTCAGAAATACGCCAGTCTGTCGGCTCTTTGCTTTAATTGAAGCGTTGCCTCTGAAGCCAGGAATAATCCAGAGAGAGCCCCAAGCCATCCAGAGGTAACATGGATTCTCATCAGGGCAGCAAGATGCCCGTGTTCCCAGGCACCCTACATGCAGCAGCTGGCACCCGCTTAGTCCGAAAGGAAGCTACTGCCTCCACCTTCGAGAGCGCTTTTTGAAATTGTGATGTGCTTGGTCAGGGTTTTCTTAACATTTGGTGCTATGCTATTAGGCATGATCATGTTCTATACAACTAAGACACGGTATCACCAGTCTTCAAGGACGGATGGGTATGTTACCAAACAAAACCTTATGACATTTCATGAAAAATCACAAAATTTCTTATCATCAGTAACATGAATACATTTTACTATGTCACATTTTAGGAAGGGAACTAGGCTTACTTGCTTTTAAGTGCATGATCTATAGGGGAAAGGAGGGGGTTTTTTGTCACAGGTGAGAGCGATGGCCATTCCAGTCATTGCCGCCAGGAAGAGCGCTAAGAGTCCCCAGGCAGATTTGCAATTCCCCTAAGCCCTGCACCACAGGGCCATCAAACCCTGCTTCCAAACAGCTGCTCTCAGCAGCCCCAGGACTTGACTGCCCATCATCTCGGCCTCCTTGTTGAACAAATGCGCTGTGCCCAGACATAAACTGAGGCTGTATGACTGAAAGCAATTAACAAGTATAAATAATTGAACGCCTATGAAGTGCTCTTTGGGCATCTATCTGTTGTCAAGCAAGATCTCTAATGCAACAGAATCCAAATTTGGAGAACTCTATCCACTGTGCAAAATGATCTGCTGGAGACCTCAGATAAAACGTGTCCAAGCTGTGAGTCAAGTGAAATAACAGAGTTCTCGGGAGGAACATCACTGTTGTCAAATCGTGTCAAAAGACCTTGCCCCAGAATGTGTCAATTTCCTAAAAAAATGTTATTTTGCTAAAAAAACAAACAAACAAACTCTCAGAAGAAACTTAGGCATTGGCTACATACAAAAATATCACACTTCCCATGTCGTTTTACCCATTTTAATTCTAAGCAGGAGTCGGTTTTCTCCTGCTTCTCCCATCCGGCTCAAAATGCCTGATTTTTTTTTTTTTGTCTCTTATTTTTTTTACGTACAATAACCATGCCACGATCACTTGATAAATCTGATCTTGTTTTCCCTTTAAGCCTGTAACGACTGGTGTTGGTGAAAATGAATGAAGCACGGAGAAGCCAAATAGATTTTCATGAACCAATTTAGGGCAGAGTCCTGGTCACATGTGCTTTTTTTTTTTTTATTACCTTTGGACTGCTTAACTCAGGGACATGCCTTTCTACATACCAAACTCTGGTCATGTAATGTAAAGCCCCTAGTAAGTGTAGTCACACACAGTACCACAACTTCTGGTTTTCAGAGGATGATATTTCAAGATCTGGAGGTATCTTCAGTAAATTTCACTACGTCATTAACTACAATAAAACAAAGTATCTTTTAACTGAAGGTGAATTTTACTAAAGAATGCTTGCTTTTGGATATTCCTGGGATATCCCTTGGCATTTTCTTTTGAGACAAACACATAGTAGCTACTACTCCTTTTTTTAACCTCACAATGTGTTTCCTCTCTCCAAACAGAAGAGTATTTATGCCTATACAGTATTTTTGTCAAGCCAAACTACAGGAGCTAAACAAAGAAAAGCCCTTGAATGCTTAAGGGAAATGTGATGGGCTGGGAACACAGCTCAGCCTAACAAATAAAACTCAACCACAGAACACCCAGGAAACTAAAAAGGACCTTCCCACAAAACCAGCTGTTCTTTAGGGGGGAAGAAAAAAAAAAGATATCGTCACCTTTTTGCTAATTTTTTACAAATATTTTAAATGAATAACAGAATGGCTTGTTCAAAGATGCGGACTTCAATAACAGCGTAATTGTGGGGACTCAAGTACAAGGTGATTAAAAGTCTTTTTCTGTCTATCTCTTCTCATCTGCCAACACATTGTGTTCCTTCTGTTCGTGAAAATTAAACAACTGGGAAATGGTTTGGTTTTCTATAAAGTGCAGTTTGCCTTTTGTGTCCAGTTTACAACAAGTTAGGCATGTGTGATATCCAGGCTTTTAAAAAAATGCACATTACCTAAAATTAGAGTAATTGCCACATTATTAGCTGTCCAATTGGTCTTGCAACATTCTGTATGCATTGTCAAATTTCACATTACTAATTTCCTAACAAGCACAGTTTGTTTTCTGATGCCCCAAGGCCAGTTTACTAAGACCAAACACAAGCTCTGAAAGCTAAAAGAAAAAAAAATAAAAAAATAAAAATCCCATGAACCAAGAAATTTTAAATACACAACACAACCATGATTCCAGGGTAAACTGTCCCCCAACTGACTTCAGGGTATTTCCTTTCTGAAGTGTAACAAAACAAAGACCCAGTTCTGGAGCATTTTTAACTGGCTGCCAGTTTGTGCAATACATTTTTAATTGTGATGTGTAATGGTTTGCAAGAGAACACCCAATCAATTAATCATGAGTGCCTTCTCATGGCTGCTCGGTGGGTTCTCCTGGCCGACGTTTATCTTACATGTTGTGAACACTCTAATACATTTCAATGAGCTCCCTTTGAAAAACACAGGCCACACACTATTCTTTAGAAATTCCAGCAATTTCCAGTTGCGTGTAGAGTACCCAGGTTCACATGTAGAGGGGCTTAAGCTAAGTTAGCCAGCTCTCTTTCTGAGAGTCGAGACAGACTGTAGTAAGCCTTAAATAAATATATGTATGCGTATGTATGTGTAAATATGTTTACCACAAAATCAAACATATAGCTCACTCTTTTAAGAGGTGATACCTTTACCACCAAATGAAGCTTTCTTACAGTGCCAAAACCTTTCCATTCACATTACTGTTAGAAAAACTATCTAAATTAAGATTACATAAAAAGATACTTTGAGATGCCTGGTGAGAAGGTGAACCATTTTAGAAAAGGTTAATTATCAATTTGGAAAAAGAGCTGAAATATTTATTTGAAACGTGATCTCAGTGACTTTCTTCTAGTAAGGCTTTATAACTGTTTTAGAGGATTTATCAAACATTTATACATTTTATCTATAAACCTAGAAACAAATAAGACCTGTAATTGCATACCCCTCAGAGATTTTTTTTAATGATAAAAAAGATGTGGTCTTTGGTCAATTTTTTATATCATCAACACCCAAAAGGGGTTACTTTAATTAGAGAGGTAACTTGATGCATTCTGAAAATCAAAACGTTACAATGAAATAGCTCAGTTCGTAAATTAGATTAATAAAAACAACTATATGCACCAGAATCGTCTGGAACGATCTTGATTTGATATACCTACATATATACGAATGTTTTTAAGTTATTTTCCATTTATACTGATTTTCAAATCACTCATATAAATGAAATAATGCAAATATTTCTTTTAGAAATATCTTTGTAAAACACATTTCTATGAATTATTTTAAATTTAATCTTATTACAAATATTTCTCCTAGGAAAGCCAACACTCCTAAAAGTAATATTTAAAATACTAAAGCTCACATTTGGACTTGCTAGACTAATAAAAAACTGCTCTCTCCCCTTTGAAGAGTGAAATTTAAACTATTTTAAAGTGAATCTAAGGAATATTTTTACTACATAAAGAAAAAAAATCAACATTTTAAGCTCACTAGGTCGCAGAGTGGCTTTGATATATTTTAAATACTTAACCTGTAAAGCATTTTTTACTAATTCATGAACTTATTGACAGAATATACTGCTCTTTTCCAGCTCAGAAAGTAAAAACCAGTTTTAAAGAGAACTGGAAAACAGCCCTCAAATAAATGTTGAAAACACAACGAAACAGACATGAAACCATAGGCACCCCCTAATAATTTAATATTTGTTGGTATTTGCTATAGTAATTTCTAACACTGAAAACCATCAAACTTAATACGGTCACTGCCATTGGCATATTGAAAAATGAACCACAATCAGATGAGGCCACAAATGCCTTCTACACACATTTTGTCACAGATCTACTTAAGAGATACACTTAAGCACTACAGCTCACTACCAGCTTTTGTAAGTTTTTGTTTCCAATTTAGTACCTGTAAATTAGTGCTAACTGCTGTGTAACTATCAACATAAACAAAACTCCCATATTTATTTTCAAGCCTATACACAACTATTTGCCTTCACTAAAATAATACATACAGAAATGCATTGTTTGCATTGATAGCACAGTTTTCTAAGGCTGAGCTTTCCCTAACTCAAATAAAATTCAGTCACATTTTCGTGTTGTATTTGTGATGTAAAGTCCACACACTAAATGCAATGGCTTCAGGGAGCTTCCCCTATAGCTAAACGCATTCAGAGCCACCAGAATAAAAGTTTGTTCCCATCACCGAGCAGAAGTAGTGGTTCAGAAGACTAATAGCACTTGAAGTAAAAGTCTCTTTGAAATTGATTACTAAACAAGATACAGTAGGCTTTTACTGTAACTCACAGTTTACCATCACATTTTAAAGCTGTAAATTTCAATATATGCACTCATTTCCATCAATACATAATTGGATTTACTTCTAATTAACCTATGTTTGACAAAACACTTAGCTTTAATATACAGATTTGGTCTGCACTAGTAACGACTGTAAGTGGGCACGAAACTTATCTTCCTCTTTCAAAAATCTTAATCGAGAAAATAATATCTTTAGTATTGATTTCCCTACTAGATACAGAAGATCTCAGTAAACACACCAAATACATTATGTTATTCCACTAATCTGGACAGTATTTAAAAAGCAAGCTTCCTTTGTAGGTTCTGTACCTAGGGTCTTCATGCAGCATGTTAATTCTCATCTTAAAAATGCAAAATAGACGCTTTGTGTAGCTTCCAGTACCAAAAGGGTTCCAACCCCTCAGTTCTCAGTCTAAATGACTGGATTTTTTGTTACCAGTTGATGAAAAAACCAGCATTAGGAACTCTCTTTCTTTAATAATCTCACCTTCTGAGCTGCTTTAGAGGGACTCTTGTTTTTGCTTCCTTTGGGTCTTCCTCTTGGTCTTTTAGGAGATGGTTCACCAGTTGGTTCCTAAATACAGGAAAACATGCTATTGTGGCAAGAGGCTACAACTAACCCAGAAGACCTGAAGGATATACTATAACTGAGAAGTTACTTAAAACATATAAATTAACAATATAAATAACAGAATACTTAAAAGTGCAACATGAAAAATTTAACACCTCGAGGTAAAGAAAAAAATGTATTTTGCACAACAGTTTAACTTCCCTTGTAATTGCATCAAAAACTTTGAAAAGTTTGCATATTCTAGCAGGTAAGCTATATCAGAAAACACATTTTTAAAAGAAAATTACTATAATTTCCTTCATGTAAGAATGATCATTCACAAAACAATACAGCTACCTATTTCATTTCAATTGCATTTCATTATAGCAAGACACAATTATCATCTGCACTTTCTAGCACAAACTTGGGGGGAAAAAGTTAACTACTGGAAAACTGGAAAGTAAGCTTAGACTATTTTCTCTCTCATGGGCACTAACATTTGGGGGGGATTTTTTTTCCACAGCTTGTTCCGCAGTTGGCATTACATTCGCACCTATTCTAAACCGTAACTGGTTTGTATTAAAATGCAAACGTAAAAAAGCTTCTTCAAACAGAGCCCTAGCAAGCCAGACAACCTCGACGACAGAGAATATCCGAAACAAAAACCCAACTCTAAAAATGACTCGACAGGAACACTGATTATTTTAGCAATTTTAACTAGCTCCTCTGCCTGACAGTAAATAACCAGTCCTTAAAAATGGGTATGAATTACTAAGAGTTCGATTCCAAATATTTATTCAGTGAATCACAAATACTATAAAACTCTTCTAGTCTTAAATACTGTACATTTCATTCAGATTACAGGATGTGGTAAAACTAATTAAATGCCGTTCGTTAACTTCAACCAGCTCTAAAACCCTTCAGCTCTTTAATTCCCGGGTAGGTTAAGAGGAGGCAGGAGAGGGGACCCCCCAAACCACTCCAGCCTGGCAGGCACAGCGCATCTGGGCTGAGCACCATGAAGCAGACGCGCTTCTCTTTCTCTTCCATACATTCAAAAGCTATAGGGAATGGGGGGG